ATGGTGCAAACAGGAACGGTTTGGATTCTTAGATCACGGAATGCAGTTTCTTGAAGATGGACTTCTGGCAAGCGATGGGCTGCACCTCACAACGGTTGGGAGGAATGTTTTTGCAAAAAATCTCAGAAACCTCATCAGGAGGGCTTTAAACTGACTAATGTGGGGGAGGGAGACAGTGCTCCTGAAGGTAGGAGTCTATCAATTGATGAAGATGATCATCCAAATGTCATAGACCGAATGGAGCAAAGAGCATGCAGACCTAGTGGTGGGAGGAGAAAATCCTTAAATAAGAGACACGGGGGAATGATTAATGGACTTCAATGTCTGTACACTAATGCGCAAAGCATGGGAAATAAACAAGATGAGCTTGAGCTCCTGGTACAGCAAACTAAATATGACATAATAGGAATCACTGAAACCTGGTGGGATAAATCCCACGATTGGAATGTAATAATGGAGGGATACAATCTATTTCAAAGAAACAGACCAGACAAGAAAGGAGGAGGAGTGGCGTTATATGTCAGGGATGTGTATACCTGTGAAGAGATCCAAGATTTAGAACCTCAAAGCCAAAGTGAGAGCATTTGGGTCAAAATTAAGGGAGAGAAGAATAACAGTGACCTCATTGTGGGAGTTTACTATAGATCCCCAAGCCAAACGGAGGACATAGATGATGCCTTCCTGGAACAGATGGCCAAGCATGCAAAAGGAAGGGAGATAGTAGTAATGGGGGACTTCAATTACCCGGATATTTGTTGGATGTCAAACTCAGCCAAGAGCATAAGGTCAAACAGATTCCTCACTGCCCTTGCAGACAACTTCATTGTCCAGAAAGTGGGAGAAGCAACAAGAGGAACAGCCATTTTAGATCTGGTCCTAACCAATGTTGATGACCTGGTTAGTGGGGTAGAAGTGGAAGGATCATTAGGCGTGAGTGATCATGCTCTTCTGAAGTTTACTATACAGCGGAAAGGAGCAGCCAAGCATACTAGGACTCAATTTCTCGACTTTAAGAAAGCCGACTTCATAAAGCTTAGGGAAGTGCTGGGTGAGATCCCATGGACAGTAATACTAAAAGGAAAGGGAGTTCAAGATGGCTGGGAGTTTGTTAAGAGGGAGATAGTAAAAGCACAACTTCAGGCAATACCAATGAGACGGAAACATGGAAGGTGCCTAAAGAAGCCAGGGTGGCTATCTAAAGAACTTTTAACTGAGTTAAGATTAAAAAAGGATGTGTACAAAAAATGGAAAAGGGGGGAAACCACCAAAGAGGAATTCAAACAAATAGCCAGCACGTGTAGACACAAAGTCAGAAAAGCTAAAGCACAAAATGAACTCAGGCTTGCTAGAGAGGTTAAAAGCAACAAAAAAGGCTTTTATGGGTATGTTCGTAGCAAAAGGAAGAACAAAGAAACCGTGGGGTCACTCAGAGGAGAAGATGGTGAAATGCAAACAGGGGACACAGAAAGGGCTGAACTCCTCAATGCCTTCTTTGCCTCAGTCTTCTCCGATAAAGAAAACAATGCCCGACCTGAAGAATTTGGAGCAAATGATTCAGCAGAGGAAACACAGCCCAGAATAACTAAGGAGATAGTACAAGAATACTTGGCTAGTCTAGATGTATTCAAGTCTCCAGGGCCAGATGAACTGCATCCAAGAGTATTAAAAGAACTGGCAGATGTGATTTCAGAACCACTGGCAGTCATCTTTGAGAATTCCTGGAGAACAGGCGAAGTCCCGGCAGACTGGAGGAGGGCAAATGTTGTCCCTATTTTCAAAAAGGGGAAAAGAGAGGACCCAAATAATTACCGCCCAGTCAGTCTGACATCAATACCAGGGAAGATTCTGGAGCAGATCATTAAGCAAACAGTCTGTGAGCACCTAGAAAGGAATGCTGTGATCACCAATAGTCAGCATGGATTTCTGAAAAATAAGTCATGTCAGACTAACCTGATCTCGTTTTTTGACAGAATTACAAGCCTGGTAGATGAAGGGAACGCAGTGGATGTAGTCTACCTTGATTTCAGCAAGGCATTTGACAAGGTGCCCCATGATATTCTTGTAAAGAAGCTGGTAAAATGCGGTCTTGACTATGCTACCACTCAGTGGATTTGTAACTGGCTGACTGACCGAACCCAAAGGGTGCTCATCAATGGTTCCTCTTCATCCTGGAGAAGAGTGACTAGTGGGGTGCCACAGGGTTCTGTCTTGGGCCCGGTCTTATTCAACATCTTTATCAACGACTTGGATGATGGACTCAAGGGCATCCTGATCAAATTTGCAGATGACACCAAACTGGGAGGGGTGGCTAACACCCCAGAGGACAGGATCACACTTCAAAACGACCTTGACAGATTAGAGAACTGGGCCAAAACAAACAAGATGAATTTTAACAGGGAGAAATGTAAAGTATTGCACTTGGGCAAAAAAATTGAGAGGCACAAATACAAGATGGGTGACACCTGGCTTGAGAGCAGTACATGTGAAAAGGATCTAGGAGTCTTGGTTGACCACAAACTTGACATGAGCCAACAGTGTGACGCGGCAGCTAAAAAAGCCAATGCAATTCTGGGCTGCATCAATAGGAGTATAGCATCTAGATCAAGGGAAGTAATAGTGCCACTGTATTCTGCTCTGGTCAGACCTCACCTGGAGTACTGTGTCCAGTTCTGGGCACCACAGTTCAAGAAGGACACTGACAAACTCGAACGTGTCCAGAGGAGGGCAACCAAAATGGTCAAAGGCCTGGAAATGATGCCTTATGAGGAACGGCTAAGGGAGCTGGGCATGTTTAGCCTGGAGAAGAGGAGGTTAAGGGGTGATATGATAGCCATGTTCAAATATATAAAAGGATGTCACATAGAGGAGGGAGAAAGGCTGTTTTCTGCTGCTCCAGAGAAGCGGACACGGAGCAATGGATCCAAACTACAAGAAAGAAGATTCCACCTAAACATTAGGAAGAACTTCCTGACAGTAAGAGCTGTTCGACAGTGGAATTTGCTGCCAAGGAGTGTGGTGGAGTCTCCTTCTTTGGAGGTCTTTAAGCAGAGGCTTGACAACCATATGTCAGGAGTGCTCTGATGGTGTTTCCTGCTTGGCAGGGGGTTGGACTCGATGGCCCTTGTGGTCTCTTCCAACTCTATGATTCTATGATTCTATGATTCATTAAAAAGATGTTAAACAACACTGGGCCAAGAACAGAACGCTGCAGCACCCCACTTGTCACTCATTTCCAGTACAGCAGGGAGCTATGGGGTTCAGCCAGTCAACCAGGTACAAACCCACCTAAAAGTACATGTGTCTTGCCCACATTTTTCCAGCTTCTCTGCAAGGACAGCACAGGAGAATATACTATTTAATTATCTGTTCTGGGACCTTTCCTGTTATTGATGTAAAGTACTTGCCTGGATACTGTTTCTCCCCATCCTTGACAATGGGGACAACATTTGCCTGCCTGCAGTTGACCTGTTCTCAAAGCCTCTGTGCCCGTGGGCCTAATATTGCTTAGTCTAGGCTGAGTCCAATATTCTCCAGTTTCTACCAGATTGTGTACATGTGTTTATCCAGCCTCCATTTTTATTATTCTGTGTCACCAATTGAGAATTGTGTGACTGAAGAACAACAGTGCCACTGCAGTTCTTGGAAGCTGTTCTTTGCAAGCTCCTGTGAAATGGACTGGCACTGTGATAGAACAGCAGGACCTCTGCAGAAGGACTTCCACATAAATGGTGCCCCAGACCCTGTAGGAAATTTGATTATGAAATTCTTTATCCCAGACTAATAAAGATATGCAGTACAGAGAAATGATACATTTAAAAGCAATATATTATGGGGCCACTAGATGTCACTGTGCACCATTTGGCTCACCATGCAAGTTCCAGGCTCTGGGAGGCAACAAAGGAAATGCTAAGGATGGGGGGTGGGGGTGGAACTTATACCAAATTATAGCATTTCCAGTATAGAATATAGCCAATACCTCTCCCACTATCTCAAGTTATACCTCCAGAAAAGTGACACTTTCGTGCTTTTTGAAGGATCTGTGCATGCTTCTTCTAAGCAAACATTTCTGCAAGTGTGATCCCTCCCTTTCGCCTGGATCCTTGTAAAAACAGAAAAGAAGAAAGAAGCAACTAGCAGAGCTCCTCTAGAAGAAGATGTGCCTAGGAATCCACAGTGCAGGAATGATGCCAAAGGGCCACAAGAGGGGCTCACAGAAGGCTGTTGCTAAAAGAGTTCCAGGGTCATTTGTGTCTGATGCACTTTAGTGCTGCTTGTGTACCAATTGTTTTAACTTACCCGGCTGTTTATTCCTTTTTATCATACCCTTCCTCTAATGAGCACATAGTACTCAGTATCCAGTTATTCTCACAACAGTCCTGTGAGGGAGATCAAGCTGAGGGACAGTGACTGGCTCTCACCCAGGGAGCTCATGTCTGGGGGGAGGGCCTCTTCCAAATGACCTGCTTATTGTACATGGTTCACATGGAGCTTATGCAATGTCCGCTCTTAACTGAGCATTTGTTCTGATTTGTTGCAGGGGGTTATACAACAATGAACACAGAATCCTGATTTGCTTGCATGGAAGTTATAAATCTTCTTGTCAATTATCTCACATTTTTGGTGCATTTTCCCTTTGGTTTCCTAACCACAAAAAGTTTTTTTTAAGTGGATTTATTGCAAGAGAGCACTTTAACATACTTTAATGGCACAACCTAAATTCCCAGTATATGATTAAATCCCTCCCATTGACGTGCTGAAAGCAACCTGAACATTTGAACCTGGATTTTCCTGATCATGCACTGAAATTTTATTCATGTCACTACCTTGTGAGAGTACAAACAGGATTTCATGAAACAATCCCTGGGCTGCAGGCTTTTCTGATATTAAACACTATTACAAAAGAAATTAAGATGATATGTGATTTGATGACAGGTCTGTATTCAAAATATCTCTGACATGAACAAAAACATTTTCACAAAATGACACCATTGCTGCCTTACCTCATCTGCCTGGTGGTATCTGATATCTGGGCTGGTCCATTCCGTGCTGATCTGTTGACGGTACTGGTTGCACTTTGGAATAAATGTACAGCCAACATCTCCCAGCTCTGGATACAAAACTTCTAAATCTCCTCTGTAAGCAACATAAAACTGGAGTGAGATCTCACAAAAGACTCCAAACAAGAAGTGAGTTGAAGATCAGCAGCATTCTATGAATAAATGTATAAATTTTAAATATATCCACCTTGCCCCCAAAAGAAAGCTTGCATTGGATAAACTAATACAGAATAAAGTTTATACACCTGAGTTCTGTGACCACAACCAGTAACACATCGTACAATAATTACTTCACACGTCCATATTGAAAATGCACCTTTCCTTGTACACACTATTAAAGTAATTAAAGTGTAGCGAATAGGTTCTTTTCATTCTTTAGATTACGTCTATACAAGCATCCTAACAATCCCATATTTGACTCTCTTATTATTTATTTTTCCAGGTTAATTCATCCGTCTCTTTGCAATCTGCTCCACATCACTGAAAGCTCTCTTCCTCCCCTTCCCCTTTAATGCGCAAATTAACACATTCCCCAAAGTGCCCCTGATGCAGACCAAGAAGGGCCTGTAATATAGTATGCTAAATAGGAGAGGCTTTCTTAATGTAGGCAAAAGTTAACCCAAAATGATGTGATGTGGCCAAGGACTTCTCAAAGATTACATGATTTTTATAAAATCATTTCTGTACAGAAAGGAATTTACAATGGAACTTTTTTTAATAGCTTAGTACAGTAGTGATGGAGAATTCAAAGTCAGAAGGTGTGAGTAGCATGATTACAATATCCATACTATAAATCAGGGCAGGGGACCCTCAGGCCCATGGACTAAATGCAAAAAACAAGCAAACCACGCCCTGCTGGCCCGCAGGACTCCTCAGCTCACCTCCCTACAACGCTCTAAAATTCCAGAATAAGAAGCAAGATGCAGCCAAAGTTAAGTACAACTAATTCCAGTTTGTTTCAGTAGAAGAGTTAAGAACATAGAATCATAGAATCATAGAATCATAGAGTTGGAAGAGACCACAAGGGCCATCGAGTCCAACCCCCTGCCATGCAGACCTTCTCCTACCCAAAAACTGTTACATCGCATCTCCCAGAAATGTTCTGGCACAATGTGTGCAAACATGGATGTAGCCGGGGGGGGGGGTGCAGTAGGCAGTAAATTAATAAATAAATATACTTAACTAACTGAGGTTCTGCCCCGCCCCCGCCCCAGCATAAAGCCTACCCCCTAACATAAATTCTGGCTGCACCCACTGTGCAAAATATGAAAATGTTATTACCATGCTCCACTATGATATTCAAATAAACTGCTTATCACATTGTCAGGGGCCGTGATGTAATAAAATGATCCCTTGGGCTGTGTTTCTATGGGAAATGTGAGGGAAGAATGAGCTCACCTACAAAACTGGGCATCCTTCTCATTCAGCCTCTCAAAGAGGCACTCTTCTCTCTGTGCAGCAACTTGCACACCAACACCCATCAAACCAGCTGCCAGGAAATAAATGATCGGGAGCTTCATCCTGTCCTGTGAAAGACAAAGGATGTAAAACGTACAGCTTCTCAAAGATGAAGCCACATACCACGCCTGTGTGCAGTTTGGCAAGTTATAGGAAGGCAATTACTTCCGAGGTCTCTTGCCAAGTGCCAAATCCTCTCTCCAGGCCACTTATTCGCATTTGCTGTAGTTCCATCACCTGCAGAATAAGAACATTCTCTTTTCATCTTCCCCTGCTCACTAAATTACATTGTTCTTATATAAGGAAGGCTTTTACCAATCTCACATTAATCCCACTTCTATCTGACATCAACTGCATCTATTTTAACATGTACATTTTTTAAAAACCCTGGCCAATCTTAACAATGAACTCTTTTCTATTATGCTTCTTTTGTGGGATGATAGTCTAAAAGCAGCAGTTTATAAAATGCTTTTTACTACTTGGATGTGATGTAAACCAGCATATGTACCCAGTACCTCCTGATCCTACTCAAATGGCATTCATATTCAGCTACATCCACAAAAGTGATTAATGGAACTCAGGGCTACTGACAACCATTCAGGAGAATCTGGCCTTTTTTGGACTATATATTGACCAGCTACATTGAAGACTACTACTGCTTTTGAAATGCTTCTAGAGCAGCTATGCAGATTTGCTGCCGTCCCAAACTGAGAGCCCCGCCAGACATCCTTTTTTGTGTGCATTCATGGTGGTCTCAGGTCAATCATACACAATCCCACTTTCAGTGCTGTTTCTAGCAACAACCATTTTGGGGCAGAAATACTGCTTCCTTTCCAATCAGTGCATGTCTTCCTGTAACTGGCTGCTGAAATCCTCTAAAGTCTTAGACCACAAACAGTCCTGTTTACTTTTTGTCCCATTTTTGTTGCACTATACTACAAGAGTATCTCTCGACAGCAATAATGCATTAACACTGGGAAAGAATCACAGAACTAATAAAGCAGTGATATGTGGGCAGTCAAGTATGAACCCGCTATTAACTGAGTCAATTTCGCATTGGAGAATACACCCACACACAAAAACAATAGCCTTGAGTAGCTATTTTCCTCTAAAGAATAGGAACATGGTGTGTGGTACCTCTAATATGATTTATTGCAGTGTAAGCATTTGTGGAATTGTACCCATTCATCAGATGCACGAAAACATATGCTACAATAAATCTACTGGCCTTTCAGATGCCACAAGACTCTCTTTTTTGTTAATAGACTTACATGGCTACCCTCTAGAATTCATTTCATTAGAGAATGTTCCTAAGGCTGTTGTTTAAATCACAGAGATATAGGCAAGTAAACTTTTTTAAATGTATATGAAAATTTGTCCCAGAAAAACTAATTACGTAGTAATGATATCTTCCAAATTATATACTAAGGGCTCATGTTGGGTTGCCACCTTGGGTCAGGAAAAAGACAGGTTGCGGGTGGGTGAGGGGAACTGGAGAACTAAAAATTCCTTAACTGGTGCAGATACGGTGAAAAAGTCCAAAGATGAAATGGAGGGGACATTCTGCAGGCTTCAATGTTAGGCTGTGCTAAAAAAAATCTCTCAGGTTGTACCGATTGCTGCTCTTCCTTTAAAAATACAGAAGCCAGCAGCTGGATGTTTCGGACTACAGCATAGCACTAATTGAAACACAGGTCTCTCACAGCATAGCTGTTTTTTAAAAGCGGTCATCCATATACACAATGACCTAAAATCACTGAAATTACCTGCCCTATAGGACCAACTTTACCCATCTGGTGACATGTGCACACAGAATTGCACATAGAACTTCCTGGATGTTGTTGTTTAAATACAGAGAATTTAGGGTGGTCTCACAAAGATTGTAACTAGACACCCATAGGCAGAGTTAGAAGAGGGGAAAGCTATTGCCATCTCTGCCACTTCCTTTTGATAACACCTTCCATGGATAGCACACAAAAGATAGCAAAGGCTACAATCTCATGCGCACTTACAGTGCATGCTTATACATAAGAAGAGGCCAAAGATCCATCTCATCCACCGGTCTGCTCTCAATGGCCACTCAGGTGCCTCTGGGAAGCCTTAAAGGTAAAGGGACCCCTGACCGTTAGGTCCAGTCATGACCGACTCTGGGGTTGCGGCGCTCATCTCGCTTTATTGGCCAAGGGAGCTGGCATACAGCTTCCGGGTCATGTGGCCAGCAGGACTAAGCCGCTTCTGGAGAACCAGAGCAGCGCATGGAAACGCCGTTTACCTTCCCGCTGGAGTGGTACCTATTTATCTACTTGCACTTTGACGTGCTTTTGCACTGCTAGGTTGGCAGGAGCAGGGACCGAGCAACAGGAGCTCACCCCGTCGCGGGGATTTGAACCGCCGACCTTCTGATTGGCAAGGCCTAGGCTCTGTGGTTTAACCCACAGCGCCACCCGTGTCCCATGGAGGACTTACTTCTGAATAAACACGCTTCGGGATCACATTGCAGGTGCCTCACCTAACAGCGCAGGCCTAGCAATGCCTACTCAGAAGTAAGTCCTGCTGAATTACACGTAGCTGGCTGACTCCCAGGTAAAGGTCTTCCGTTTCTGGCCGGGGTTACCTGGGATTGACGTGTCCAAGGCAGGGCAGGACAGGGAGCTGAAGGGACGTGGCCTAACGCAGCGCAGCGCAAACTCGCAAGCCGCGCCCGCCCGCCGCTGTTATGTAAAGTCGCCCAGCGGGCAGGTGCGAGGGCGCGGCGCCCATTGGCTCCTGCAGCCGTCCTTCTCCCCCGCAAGGCTGGCAGTTGGAGAGCGGTTCGGGCTCTGTCTCCGCCCCCGGGCGGGCGAGGCTCTAATAGGGCGGGGCTGCCCAGCTGGACTTCGAGACCTTTGGCTCGTGGTCCGAGGACAGCAGGAAAGCGGGAGAAGGGGGGGGGGGTGTCGCTTAATCCTATGCTTGCTGGAAGAGGAAAGGCTCTGCTTTGAAGCTTAGTGTGCAGCTTGCCAATTTATGAACCAGCTTCTGTGGCAACCTTTCCACGGAAATTTAACTAGCATATTTAAAGCGCATCTGCCCCACCCCCAAAAAGAAGCTGTGAGAGGACCCTAGAGCCATGCCGTAGATTAATCACCTCCCTGTTTTCTCCATATCAGACTTCTCTTACAGGGACTGAAACATGATTTGTTGTTTTAGTTGTTTTGGCTAGACAACATCTCTAAATGTAATGGACCTTCTTCCAAGGTAAGTGTGCATAATATGAATGACAACCCTGAATGCAACACAGTTAACAAATTCAAGTTCATTTCAACTTGGATGTTTTTAAATGACATTCCAGTGATTTATTTGTTTATTTCCAAGTAACTGTGCATAGGATTGCAGTCTTACCAGAAAGTGCGTTCTTTTGAAGACTTTAAAAAATAATTTAAAAGTTTTTAAACGTTGTTTATACAGTTGAGGCAAGAAAGGGTTTGAACAATGTGAAACGCAGAGCGACAACCAATCTGATTAGGTCATGGGTTGCCAACATGTCATCTGTAGGTCCACATGCGCCCCAGAGGCCTTCCCTGACCCTAAAAAGATCACTCCCCCCATGCAAGGTTAGACTTGAAAGAAGAATTCTGTTGTAGCCAATAGAACAAGTTGCCGTGTGTGTGCTTGAGAAGGGGAAGTCGTGCCCATAAGATTTTTTGCAGAAGTGCCCACAGGCACAAAAAAGTTGGCAAAGCCCCGACTGAAGGCGCAGTTCAAAAGTTTGGGAAACAACGCCCTTCTGTACACATTTACATGTACACAACTGTAATGACAATGCAGGAGGGTTGGCTGCTCCAAAAGACGTGAAGGTAGAATGCTTTCACATCAGAGTGGACACTGGCAAGAAGTCAGGTTTTGAAAATGGGAGAAAAGAAAAGTTTAATTACAATAGAGTTTACATTTTGCACTTAGCCCAACAGTTTGTCTGTGAGGTCAAATGACCATCAGCTAATGCACTGAGAAATTACCCAGTAGGCACTTAACTTTAAAATATGTATGGGCGTTCAGAGTAATTTCTGTCCAGGGGCCTCCAGCTGCTCCCATGGGAACAGACCATGCCACTGACTGTAGCAACAAAAAATTGCTCTCCCACAGAATAGAAGAGCATAATAGACTGAGCTGCAATGCACACTGTGGGAAACTTGTTGATTCCAACACATCAAAGTATGCAGGAGATGTTAAAAAATGAACACAAGAAAAACTGGAAACTATGGACTTACTTATTCAAACCTATACTTAACAGGGTTGCAGTTTCATTTTAGACTTCCTTCAGTTGAGGGAAAGGGAAATAGGCCACAGGTACATAAACTTTCTTGCTTTTGTGTGTGTGTATACATTACACAAACAGACATGCACATACTTTCTTATTCTTACCAAATTTTACATTTTCCCTGGGTATATGAGCCCTCAATTTTTGAACACGACCAGTTATTAATTATGATGACAGTGGTTCTGGCTCACAGAAATTCACAAGTGTAGAGAGATGCATAAATAACTGAAAAGGAGATATAATTGCTGACAATGTTTGTGTCCATTAAGACTTCATTCTCAATCAGACAAAAACCCAACTAGAAAATTACACACACACAATTTTAATGAAGAGATCCAATCTTGAATGTGATGTCTAATCTGGCCTTAAAAGTTCTCTTAACAGCTGACCTCTATCTACATGTTGGGTGCAATCCATCATAATGTTTCAAATTTGGGGTAACAGAGTTTAGGCGTGCAAGGGCCCCTTTAACTGCTAGAGTTAGTGATGTTAGCAATTAATAATATTGTAAAATTTAGATAATACTTGGAGTGTTGAGGGAAGAAGCTGGGGAAGCCAGCTAGTGGATAAATACAGAAAATACAGAAAAATATGCTTCCTTTCCAGGCCAGGGCCTCACCTGGGATACAAGCCATTAAGCATGACCAAAGGTGTTGATGGCACATCAGAGGGAAATGCTTGGGTCTGTGCCAAAGGAGGAGGTTCCCAAGGTTACACTGAGCAAGGACAGTCGGTTACAGGAAAATCATCACCTTTTAAAAGTAGGCTTGGAATAGCAGAGAGGAGGGGGACAAGCAGACAGAAGGGGACAAGTTGCTTGGAAGGGGTTTCTGCAAGGTTGCTATATTTCAAAAAGTAAAAACCAGGCCATCCCAAAAGGTTTTGAGCTCTTTTTAGGAAACCCACAAAATTGTTGAGCTGGTTTTTTTTTACAAAAACACTAAAAAATGGTAATTTCCAAACCTAAGGCAGCCCCAGTTCTTGGGAAGGAGAAGCAGGGAATAGGTAGAGAACTGCATGTGGAGGGCAAAATCATCTTGGCGGGCTGGCTGAAGTCAGGCTGGGACAGAGACATAGAAATGTCTGCTGTAAACTTTGCACTCCCTCCATTGAAAGTCTCTGGTGTACATACGTTTAAAAGAAACCAAATTTCTTAAATGGCACAACAGTTTCTGCCCCGTCTTGATTCCCAATGGAAAAGACTCTGGAGAAGCAGCTGGTACCCTTTGCCATCTTGCTACCACTTGACAGAGATTGGGGAGACACGCAATCCTCGTAACAATATGTTAGTTCCAATTATGTTCCACTGGAATCAAAATGAAGGAATTATTCAGCTGTAAAGTTTGATCCAATTTATTTCTCTGGGATTCAGAACTTTAGCTGGTGTGCACTTGTTACAGAAGTGCACATTTTGAAGAATGGCTGTTTCTCTTCCCAACCTCTTTTTTACTTGCCTCTTTAAAGTGGGAATATGGAAAGGTGATGCCTGAGACGTCAGAGCCTTTGCAAGTTCCAAGCAGAGGAAGCTTTTGGATCTGCCTGTCCCAGAAACAAGACCTAAAGCAACCAACAAATGTTTGTCTTATGCAAAACATGGCACAGATGAGATGAGATGTGTGTAAAATGCAGCTGAGCATTTTCAGCCAGTGCCCATGCAGTGATTCAAGCACAGCAGAAGGTAATCTTAAATAAACCAACTGGTTCACGGCATATGTCCAATAGTCCTGCCAAATTGTCTTGGCCTGGGTGTAAACACAACACATAACATTTCTGGCAGCAGATTTACAGCAACAACAGGCTGCCAGCAGTAGAGATTAGCCACAAGGATTTTTTACCTACCAGGCTTTGGGATTTTATCTGCACCATTTGCTAATGGGCAGCTACACTCAATCGTGCTGGATTAAGCTTTTGCAATGTCATGGGTTGAAGAAGAGACAGGCCAGTGATGAAGTTTAGAACATAACATATAATTTTGTTTTCCCAGAGACTGTTGTTAAAGGAGTGGTGCATATCAGACAAATGACAGAGAACCCTATATTCCTGACTATTTATCACCATTTTGTATAGTCCCGTCACTTTGTCAAGAACTATCACTCTTAGGTTAGTTAGTTTGATTAGATGTAGACTTGAACAATGGGCTCCACTCCTGAGGGCCACACGATTGCAATTATTTTTGGACTGCATTAATTGGATTGCAAAAGATCATGTCCTGTGCATAAGACTTGTGGCATCACCTTCCTTTATCCTGAAGTTACTTTTCTATCAGGCCTCAAGCAGCCTCCTTGCAAAGTGAACCAAACAGAAACAAATTTTTAAAATCACACAGGCAATGGAGCAGAGTGTCTCCTAGACTCATAAGCCGCTAACCCCACACCGGGGGTGTTTTTTAAAATATATATACATAATCAAGAGTTTATTCCTTTAGTAGTCTTGCTGTATTATTGCTGCTGCTTGTATCCTCACCTTTATTGCAAATTAGAATTCCATGAAGATAGGAAAATAATACTTTTATTTTATTGTAACTTGGGCACATGTAAAAGAGAACAGGTTTTGACATTTACTGTGAGACATTCAGGTTCAAGAATGAGTAACTACCCCACAGTAACAAACCTGCAGGAAAATAGATTCAGATTCTTCATCCTAGCACAGCGGCAAACCTTAAATTTCAGTGGTTCCCCATGCGAGACCAAAATTCAGAGCCTCCCCTTTCCACAACCAGTGTCACCAAACTGGTTGTGCACCCCTAAATCTGCCTCTGCCTAGTGCATCATTTCTAATATTAAATAAGTTTAGTCCTGACTCTCACTTTGCAGCTCAATGTCTGTTGGCTGCTAAAAACCACCACCTCCAGCCAAATCCCATCTGCCAAAGCCAGCTACTAGTCTTGAACCAGAAATCGTTAACAGCCCGATCCAAGTGGCCTTCTGTAGAAAATGCACCCCTACCACGGGTTACCATTAGAAGGAGCTGTTGGCCTGCTTTCTTCTGTGCTTAGGTGCCACCCAGGCCAGAAGGACGTACTACTGCAGTTGATTGCCTCTGCAATGGTCAGGCGACGTAAGCGGCCAATGGAGTTTTACCTGTGCAACTTGCCTGCTGACTTGAAGATTGTTCTTGGATTGCCTGAATCTGCTTGCCAGCATACCTGCTCAGCTTGCCTGCCTTGCTTCCTGCCTATGCCTATCAAATGACAGCCAGCCTTCCTCACTAAGATGTGAGCCTTCAAACCACCAGTTCTGACTCAAAAAGATGTGCCCTAATCATTTATTCAGAAGATTACGGAGCACGATGTCCAGAACACTTTCCATTCACATGCAGAAACAGCCAAGGGTGTAAACAGCCTGGCTGGTTGGCTTCCTGAATGGCAACTGAAGCTGGTAAGTGAAGATGGTAGACTCTAGAGCTTCACCTGTCTCATTTGTATGTTTCCATCCTTGCATAAGAATATAAAGAGCCTTGATAAGTCCAACATCCTTTTCCCACAATGGCCAGTTAGAAGATTTGCAGAAGCCCACAAGCACAGGACACAAAGATAACCGCTCTCTCAACTACTGTGCCTCAGAGGAAGGCTGCCATCTATCACCATCATGACTGGTAGCCACTGCCTTCTCCATGGATGTATATAAATCCTCTTTTAAAGCCATCCAGGCCAGTGAACATCGCTGCATGTTGTGACAGGAAATTCCCTAAATTAATTTTGCAGTATGTGAAGCATTTGGAAACCTGATAATTTGAAGAGGAAACTTGACCATTTTACTCTCTTGCTGTTACTGTCCTTCGTAGGGTTCCCAAAAGTTTATAGCTCAGCCAATACTCTGATCAAATTAAGGTGACCAGATGCAAAGGTAAAGAGATCCTGCATCTTTGCTGGCTGTGTAGAAGGGAGTGTTTTGGCATGCTCAGCTTGTCACAGAATGCTGCTGCAAAGGCAAAGGAAAACTGCATCTGCTGAAATCGCTTCTTTCCCAGCAGTCCCATGCTGCTTTGTACCTGGTCACCTTAGGTCATGTGCACATGTGCACACACACACACACACCTCAAATCTGCAGTGGCCTACAGCCAAATAGCCTGGGAATCACATGCTGGGCAGCTCTTTTTATTGTGGTCACCTGACTGCTCTGGTATGCATGGACAAATTCCCCCAAATAATCACACAGCAAAGGCTGTGGGAGATGACCTTGGGATCTTGAGGAGGCTGGAGCTGCAGCACTAGCACACAGCAGCAGCAGCAGCAGCAGCATTTCTGGGCTTCTGATATTCCTGTGCAGGGATTACATAAAGCACCTGACAACACACACACACCAGCCACAGGCACCTCCTGCCTGGGCAACGTTTATACAGCTGCAGATCTTTCACAAGAGGAAAGGATTCTATTTTGGGAACAGTGTTTTCATTTGTCACACACACATACACACATTCAGTCACAAGGCAGGTGCTGAACACCCACATCTAGAAGAGACTCTGGGTCTCGTTTCAGTAGCTCAGAGGTTTAGGACATTGCCTTGGTGCATCTCAAGAGGTCAGGCAGCCAAGCAGGGCAAATCTCCACTTCGTCCCTCTCTACAGAGTTGGATGAGCCAGCCTTGCATATTACACAGCATCATCATCATCGTCATTATTAATGAGTTCAGAAAAGGGCTGCAATGATTATAATGATAAATGATTATTATCATTGTAGCCCTTTTCCAAACACACACACACACACACACACACACACACACACACTTACACTTATGAAAACTAAAACATTAATCTAAAAGCTCAGACTTTTTTCATCGCCACTGGAAATATGGCTACTACTATTCCAATGACTGGAATCCAGTCTTGTGATTAAGACACAATAATCACACTACATGGGCAGCATGCTGAGCATGAATCAGCAGTGTGATGTGGTGGCACAGGAAGGCCAGGACCATGTCAAGTTGCATACTTCCCCAGGTTTGTGAAGTAATGACACAACTCTGCTCAGAACAAGGAAGACTTCTTGTTCAGTTCTTGCAGTCACCGTTCCAGAAGGATGCTGAAGAATGGTTCAGGGTTCAAGACAGGAGGATTATAAGGAAGGGAAACCATTTGAGGAAAGAGAGAGAAAAACGAACCTTCAGAAATCTGGTATGTTTAACTTTTTAAAACTATGTGTGATGCTCATGCTATGCTAATGATTATTCAAAGGATCTGAGAGGAAGGGAGTCTGTGAGGTGACAGTTCACCCTGGAAAAGGATAAGCAGAACGTGAATAGGCCATTAGACTAGGATAAAAAATATTGGGCTTAAATTAGCATAAGGTAGATTTATCTTAAAAATCAGGAAGAGCTTTTTAAGGACAAGAACAAATTCATTTTTTGAAAGAAGTTATGATACCAGAAATGCAGGAGATGTTTTTCTTTTTCATAAGGTTGGTCATTCATTTGTTTGAGATACTTTAAATTTAGATCTAAGTAAGGGAGTTGAGTTGAGATGGGATGATCCAAAAGGATCTCCATGGATTTAATGTTCCAAGCCGGGGAAATTAAATTAAAGGAGCCCAACACAGGGAACACAGAGTGCCCTGCTCTAGAGTACAGATAGTTTCTTATAGTTGAAATGATTGCAAAAGCCTTCCAGTGTGTCTCAGATACTGTTGGGTTTCATAGACCCCCTTCTGATGGCCACATGCCATTGGTGGATGGCCAGAGACTAAAGGGTGCAGACCAACAAACGTAAACATTACCTTTGCGCAGTGGGCTGGTTTCTTCACACACGCCTCCCTCTCATCCAGGCAAGAAAGAAGCATTCATGTTTCCCAGTAACTCATACCACTTCAAAGTGTGTGTGTGTGTGTGTGTGTGTGTGTGAAGAAACCAGCCCACTGTGCAAAGGTAATTTTTACGTCATACCACTTCAGAGACCAGTAGCCATCTTTGGTTCACAGCAGCTGACTATGGCCAAGTCTTTGGAACATATCTCAACCGCTTTAAAGGAGCTACACTTGCTACTACTCATTTCCAGGCACAATTCTAAGCATTGGCTTTGACCTTCAGAGCAGAATGCTACAATGGGGAATGAAAATACCTCCCCCCCTGCCAACACACATTTCTCAACTGATCTATAGCAATCATTGGGAAAGGGCCTGTGCACTTGTCTGCATAGTGAAGGTATGTGCCTGTGTAAATGTGGCCTGCCCATTCCCAGCTTTGCTCCCATTCACATGCTCATCGTTGGCATGTAGTCCTCAGAGGGTTGGGAATGTGGTGGGGCAAAGCCAGCTTCTCCACCCCTGGAGAGAGAGGGAAACTATTATCAAGCACTTCAGCTTATGGTGAACAAATCCCATTTGTTTCTTCTCCACCCTTCTGTATTGTCTTCAGCATCCAATCACAGCATGCAAGTGGTGACCCACCCACCTGCCTCCATGTGATTCCCGATGCTGAGAATAACTGCCCTAGGTACTCTTGTCACATGCATACAATTATTATTACTGTAATAACACCATGCTTGTAGGTGAGGTAAAAATCTACTTAAGGAAGGTGTGGGAAAGCCCTTGAGCCAGACAGGGAATCACAAGCCGTTTCCCGCCTATGAGATAATCACAACTGCAGCAGCTGAGAGCGTCCGTGGGTCTGACTCACGCATCTGAAGTTGAGTGTCGGTCACATGACCTTTTTTACCAACAGGCACCTGTGCTCCACAGTATATTTGCTAGAGTGCATGTGCAGGATACATCACTGCTAGCTCACGTTAAACACATGCAAATGGCTTTCAGGGCTCAAATACGCTCGCAGCCTTTCATGGCTTCACCAATTCTCACAGATCGAGTATCACTGGAGCCTTTAGTAGTAGTAATAATAATAATAATAATAATAATATGCCACCCATCCACTTTGGCGGCCCCCAACAAAATATTTAAAACACAATAAAACATCAACCATTTAAAACTTCCCTATGTAAGTCTGCCTTCAAATGTCTTCTAAAAGTCAAATAGTTGTTTATTTTCTTGACATCAGACAGGAGAGTGTTCCACATGGCAGGCACAATTACCAAGAAGGCCCTCTGCCTAGTGAGGGAACTGCCAGAAGGCTCTCGGAGCTGGACCTCACTCTCCAGGCGTTCCAAGGGGCTTGGAGACACTCCTTCAGGTCTCCTGGGCCGAGGCCATTTAGGGCTTTCAAGGTCAGCACCAACCCTTTGAATTGTGCACAGAAATGTACTGGGAGCCAATGTAGGTCTTTCAGGACCAGTGTTATATGGTCCCAGCAGCTGCTCCCAGTCACGAGTCTGGCTGCCGCATTCTGGATTAGTTGTAGTCTCCGAGTCACCTTCAAAGGTAACCCCACACAGAGTGCAGAGGTTGAGGGTTTTCAAATCCCTATATCAGCCATTTTAGTTACAATGGACGTATCCTCCCTTTATACTAATATCCCCCTTGAGGAAGCCCGTATGATTATAGATAATATTCTCCAAGATGGAGAGGATCCACATCTACCTACCTTTTTCCTCATGGAATTAGTTGATCTTATTTTTGAACATTTTTTAAAAAAAAAATCAGAAGGATTTCTATTTACAAACTAGAGGAGTTGCTATGGGCAGTGCATGTGCCCTCAGCATAGCTAATTTAGTTATGGGAAAACTTGAGGAAGATTTCTTTAATAACTGAATGGCTAATCCTTATTTTGATGAAATACTCATATATAAGAGATTTGTGGATGACCTTTTCTTAATATTTAGGAAAGTCAGTAATATCAATAATTTTTTTATATGGTGTCATAACATTCATCCTAATATTAAATTTACAACTCACTTTCATAGCCAACAAATAACATTTTTGGACACAATTGTATATCGTGATGGGGCAAATAATCTAGCAGTTCAGCCGTTTAAGAAACCACAGACCGGCCATCATATCTTCATTATAAATCATTTTACCCTCTTCACCTCAAATGGAATTTACCCTACGGTCAATTCCTAAGAATAAAACGTAACTCTACCACACATAAGGATTATACCAAAAATTGTGCACAAATGGCACATGATTTTGTTGGTAGAGGTTATCCACAACAGGTGATAAAAACAGCACAGATTCGAGCACACAATAGGCCTTGCTATACTCTTCTGGAAAAACAATTTAAATTTGAAGATAACCATCTGACCTGGGCTCTAGACTATACCCTGTTATCCAATTCAATTGTTAAGACAATCAGAAAACATTGGCACTTGATACAAGACGTACCAGGTTGCCCTTCTATACCTCCACGGATCAGTTTCCGTAGAATCAGGAAATTTAAAGACATGCTTGTACACTTGTACACGCAGATATAACGGATAAGAACCAGCCGTGAGGTTGCGATATAAAGGGACATTTTAAATGCAGAAGATGTGCAGCGTATAGTTTAACAATTGAGACGAAAGATTTTATTATACCTGGAACCAACAGCATTATTAAACTGGAAGCATTTACCAACTGTAATTCCCGAGGAGTGGTATATGCAATTCAATGTACCGTATTTTTCGCCCTATAGGACGCACTTTTTCCCCTCCAAAAATGAAGGGGAAATGTGTGTGCGTCCTATGGGGTGAATGCAGGCTTTCGCTGAAGCCTGGAGAGTGAGAGGGGTCGGTGCGCACTAACCCCTCTCGCTCTCCAGGCTTCAGGAAGCTATCCGCAAGCCGTGGGAGAGCTGCGCAACTTTGCGCAGCCCTCCCACGGCTTGTGGAGAGCTGCCTGCACCCCAAAGCCTGGGGGCGCGCTGAGCTCAGCACCCCCCAGGCTTCCGGCTTCGCGCAGCTCTCCGCAAGCCGTGGGAGGGCTGCGCGAAGTCACACAGCTCTCCCACGGCTTGCGGAGAGCTGCCTGTTCTGGGGGCTGGGGTCGGGGGAAGCTTGGGCTTCCCCCACCTCAGCCCCGCACCTGGGGGAAAAATAATTTTCCCCCCTTTATTTCCCCCCAAAAAAACTAGGTGCGCCCTATGGGCCAGTGCGCCCTATGGGCCAAAAAATACAGTATTTGCAACCTTTGGTACATGGGCAGCACTACAAGAATGATTAAAACTAGAATACTAGAGCACAAAAATAGTATTCTTAACAAAGTGTTGGAAGCACTTCTTACATCTCACTTCTTAGAAGCTAAACATAAGGCAACAGATTTCAGATAGTTTATCATTTATAAACATCAAACTCCTGAGATAAATACGGATATCTTAAGAAAGCAATTACTACAGAAAGAAATGTATTGGATTTTTAGATTTGGTTCCTTAACTGCGTCTGGTCTCAATTCTTATATTGACTTTAGTTCATTCTTATAATAATTTTTTACAACTCTATTCAATATTATTCTTGTTATTTTTTACAAACCTTAACAATCCTGCCCATTGTTTGAACTAGATGGCCTGTCCCTTTAAAAAAAAATTCACCCTATAGTATATAAACCTGTGATTGGAAACACCCTGTATCAGTCTTTAACATCAGCAGTAACATCTAGACCATGGGAGCATTTTAGCCCTGCTCTTGAGTTTATTTAAAATCTAAAACAGCTTATCTTGTATTCCTTTCTTTGAATTTCTGCTATGTGGGTTTTTTAAAACCTTTTTTAAAACCTTTTTGTAAAGGCAATACTAGAGTTTTCACAGTTTTCACAGCCGAGTCCTCAACTCCTTATTACTACTGCTTGGCTTTCTTTAAACAGGGCTGAGTCTAAAACTTGCCATTTAGGTTTTCAGACCTTTTTTGTAAACTCAGGGGAGCGTTTCAGCCCTGTTCTTGAGTTTGTTTAAAATCATTTAAGGTTTCCTTCTGAGGAAACTGAATAGTTCAGTGAAATGAGGTTTGTAGCCGGCATCCCGTTAAGGCTTTGTTCAATTCTAGGTTTTTCTAATTTTTTCCTTAAACTTGTTGATTTTTGTTATTTAGTTTAATTCTATAAGATAATATTTCTAGTCGATTACTTCTCGTTTCAGGGATTTTCACGGTATTTCATTTGTTTTGTGTAAGTTCTCGGTTCCATGACTGTCTTTTTTTCTACCAACATACCAGATGGAGCTGGTAGATAGCCTCCCTGGACGCAGAATTAACCAGCACCTCCATGGACGACCGTGAGTCCAAAATGACCCCAAGGCTGCACACCTGGTCCCTCGGGGGCACAGCTACCCTATTCAGGACCAAGGAGTCCCCCACACCTGTCTGCCCCCTGTTCCCCAGAAACAGAACTTTTGCCTTGTTGGGCTTCAACCTCAATCAGTTGACTGCCATCCCTCTTCTAACCACCATCAGATACTCACCCAGGGGGTAGTCTGCAGATGGTTCCAAGCCATTTGCAGGTAGGCAGCTACCTGTGGTAGTAGTGCTGTGTAGCGTTCTATTCCTATCTGGTTCTTGGAACCTTCACCAGGTGACTCACCCTCTCAATCCACATCCCTCACTAGCCTTAGTTTGTACTCTCCTGGGGTATTTCTCCTGGCTGGAATATGTCCTTGAACTCTGGTAATATTTCTTAATTGCCTGGATGGATGGAGAACAGAGGGAGATGCGAAGAAACTACAAAGGTACAATTCACATCTCTTGCTTCTGCCTGCTTCTGTCTCCAGCCCTACTCACCACTGGCATGTGGCCATCAGAAAGTTCTCTGAGCTTGAGGCTGCAGCCATGACAGGAATGGTAGCAGAACACATGTTTTGCACATATAGAAGGTCCCATTCTCAACTGTATTGGCGATTCTCATGAAACCAAACTGGGAAAGACCTTGGAGGGCCACTGCCAGTCAGAACAGGCAAGACTGGGCTGAATAGACTTCTGGTCAATGGCAAGAAATACACTCCTTCTTTCCTACCATTGTGTCCACAGAATCACATGCTCATGGGGACCATTGTGCATAGTTATCTGCTAACCAAGTTGCACAGATTCTTGTAAATAAATGATGTCATTTTATTTTTTTAAAAGTTGCTCATGCAGGGGCTGTCAGGGTCAATTGCTTGTCACTATTGCTTCAATCAGTGCAATGTTGTAGACAGGCACTGTGAGACTCACAGCATGTAATTTGGATTCTTGCCCTTCATTGCTAGTAAGAACCAGCCTAGACAAGCTTGGTGGGAAGCCTTGGTGGGAAGCCAGGGTGATTAATGCCTCTTTGGAGAAAGATAGAATTCCTCCCGTATTCTCACTACTTAAAAAAACACCCACCAACCACCCAGCCAGGGATGGTTGGTGGTTAAACAGGGATGATCTAGTCAGTTTTAGACCAGCATCTAACTTTACCTTTTAGGAGAAGGCTGTGGAGTGTTTGATGGCTGAGTGGCCTGTGCATTCTTCCTCAACCCTTTTAAATCTGGCTTTGCAGATGGGCAGGAGACTGAGGCAGCTTTGATTACCTTGGTGAATTATACCTTTTTTGAGATCAACAGAGACCATGTCCCCCTGTTTTTCTTGCTGGATTTCTCTCTCTGTTTTGATACTGTGTGTAGACAACTTTTTTAGGTCCATGGGCACATTTGGATTTTTGAGCAAGTGCTATGGGCATCACCCCTCTGGAAACGTCTCTCCCCTCTTTCTGAGATCAGCAACTCCTACCCGTTAGACACTGAAGGGAAGAAAGTGCATGCATAAAAACGTCACTTTTTAAAGGAATCTGTATAAACCTCAGAGCCAGTAGAATTAATCTGAGCCTGGAAAAACACAAAGAGCTTGAAATGAAACAGGGAAAGGCATCACATTTCCAACTTCCTCCTCCTGCTCTATGTACCGTATTTTTCGCACCATAGGACGCACTTTTTCCCTCCTAAAAAGCAAGGGAAAATGTGTGTGCGTCCTATGGAGCGAATGCAGGCTTTCGCTGAAGCCTGGAGAGTGAGAGGGGTCGGTGCGCACCGACCCCTCTCGCTCTCCAGGCTTCAGGAAGCTATCCGCTAGCCGTGGGAGACCCAGCTCTCCCACCGCTAGCGGAGCGCAGCATTAATCCCAAAGCTTGGGGCGTGCGGAGCGCAGCGCGCCCCAAGCTTCTGGGTGCAAGCAGGGTCTCCGCTAGCCCTGGGAGAGCCCCGCGACGTCGCACGGCTATCCCAGGGCTAGCGGACCGCTGCGCTAATCCCGAAGTTTGGGGCGTGCGGAGCACAGCGCGCCCCAAGCTTCTGGGTGCCGGCAAGGTCTCGCTAGCCCTGGGAGAGTCCCGCGACGTCGCGCGGCTCTCCCAGGGCTAGTGAAGCGCTGCGCTAATCCCGAAGCTTGGGGCGTGCAGAGCTCAGCGCGCCCCAAGCTTCTGGGTGCCGGCAAGGTCTCCGCTAGCCGTGGGAGAGCCCCGCGACGTCGCGCGGCTCTCCCAGGGCTAGCGGACCGCTGCGCTAATCCCGAAGTTTGGGGCGTGCGGAGCACAGCGCGCCCCAAGCTTCTGGGTGCCGGCAAGGTCTCGCTAGCCCTGGGAGAGCCCCGCGACGTCGCACGGCTCTCCCAGGGCTAGCGGACCGCTGCGCTAATCCCGAAGTTTGGGGCGTGCGGAGCACAGCGCGCCCCAAGCTTCTGGGTGCCGGCAAGGTCTCGCTAGCCCTGGGAGAGTCCCGCGACGTCGCGCGGCTCTCCCAGGGCTAGTGAAGCGCTGCGCTAATCCCGAAGCTTGGGGCGTGCAGAGCTCAGTGCGCCCCAAGCTTCTGGGTGCCGGCAAGGTCTCGCTAGCCCTGGGAGAGCCCCGCGACGTCACACAGCTCTCCCAGGGCTAGCGAAGCGCTGCGCTAATCCCGAAGCTTGGGGCGTGCGAGCTCAGCGCGCCCCAAGCTTCTGGGCGCCGGCAAGGTCTCCGCTAGGCTAGCGGAGACCTTGCCGGCGCCCAGAAGCTTGGGGCGCGCTGAGCTCCGCACGCCCCAAGGTTCGGGATTAGCGCTCTGCTAGCCATAGCAGCCTGCTTCCCGGAGCGTCGGGCGCCCTGAAAGCAGAGCTCCAGGTGCTTCGGGAACACATCCGCAGCGTGGGGAGGCTTGCAGGAGTTCTCCACAGGGCTCCCATAGGCGCCGACTCCATGGGGCTTGAGGGGGCCCGAGCCCCCTCAAAAATTCGTTTGGGGGGGCTCCGCCCCCCAATAATCTCCGGCGCCCCTCCAGCAGAGCGCCATCGCCGCCCCTCCCCCAGCCCAAAATGCACAGGGAGGGGCGGGCTGCATGCCTCCTGCCCTCCCTCCCGAGCAAAAGCTCCACCCAATTTCCTTTGGAGCTGATTAATAGGCGCAGCACGCTCTCCCCTATTCGCTCACGAGGAGGCGGCGCCACTTTATTTGCATATTCATGAGCTTATTTATTATTCATGAGCTTTCCCGGGCCCCCGCAATATTTTTAATAAGTCCGCGTCCCTGAGGGCTCCCCACGCTGCGGATAGAAGCCTGCTGCCTGGCGAGTGGGGCGCCCTGAAGTAGAGCGCCCCGCGCGCCAGGCAGACATCAGCCAGCCCCACAAGCTCGGGGGACAGCAGGGAGGCGCAGCGCCACTATCCCGCTGTTCCTCGACCTGGTTCGGTTTCCCTGACCTGCTTTTGGGGGGGAAATAAAGGGGAAATTTTTTTCCTTTATTTTCCCCCAAAAAAACTAGGTGCGTCCTATGGTCCGGTGCGTCCAATCGTGCGAAAAATACGGTACTTTCCAAGGGAGTAAAAGTTAACCTCCCTTGTCACCTCATGACCGGGGGGGGGGGGCTTAAAGGCTTCACATGTGCGAGAGGACCAGATCTCAATGGCACCTTTGTGCCAATGGGTGGCACCTTAGTGGCTTCTGTTGTGGAGCATACCATTAACCCAAGCCAATTGACACATTCAGTTCCTGTGACAAGGCAGGCTCTCCTGTGTTTTGGTTTCTTTCTGTCTGAAGGTATGTAGACTCAACATTACCTAGCTTTGTCTCATGGGAACCAATTAATGTGGTTTCACAGGGTACAATGTTGTCACCAATGTTATTTAATATCTATATGCCAGAGCTTTGGGGCTGGGCATCATTGATATATTGGCAACACCCAGCTCTCTCTATATCATTATCTAATTACCCAGGAACTGCCATCTCTATCCTAAACCAATGTTGACTACATAAAAGCAAATGCAGTCAAGATAGAAGTGACACTGGTGGGGAATTCTTGGGTCTTGAAAGAAATTCATTTATTGCCACCCAACTCACCATTCCCCCTTCCCCTCTTCCCCCCTCTTTTCTTCCCAACCTAATACTGCATGCAACACTAACGTCTCGCAACAAATGAAACTGATCTGTAGAAAATGCAGCTTGAAAAAAGAGACAATGCATGTATTTTTGTAAACTAAGAAATCTTTAATAAAAATTATTTAAAAAGAAAGAAAGAAAAGAAAGAGTGGTATCTCCATCTAACCAGGTTAATCAGCCTTGGGGTATTCTGGGACCCAGTTTTGACTTTTGAGAAACAAGTTGTGACTGTCACTAGGAGTATTTTTGGCATCTGTTATATAGATTCCACCCCTTTCTCCTACCCTGATCTACACTTTGTAATCTCCAGGTTTGACCATTGTGGGGTTTATGAGAGTTTGCATATGGCTAATACATGGAGAGGCAGTCTCTCAGCCATGGACCCAGAAGCACACCAGTGGTCAGTGCAATTGGTGCATTACTGTTTGGCTGAGTAAGCACCAGTAATATTTGAAGAAATTTCAGGGCCTTAATACTTTCTTGAACATTGAAAAGTGGCCATCCAACATCTTTCTAATATGCTACTATCTCAGCTGTTGCCTCCGCCTGAGATAAGTCACGTCCTGATACTTTTTGTGCCCTTAATGATCAACAACAAGCTGCACAACGCATGGGATGCAAGAAAGTGTTTATGCAATTAAGAAAGACTTGGGGAGGATGGGAAGGAGCCTCAAAGGACCATGACTGCCCACACATGAAAAAACTAGTCCATCAACTCCCACACTCTCATTGTGAAACAGTGTTGTCTTTGCGCTACTAGCTCATCAGTACTAGCCGCACAATATCACTAAATTCCCCAAACGGACACAAACAAATGTGTTTCCTGAGGCATTAAATTAACTAAGGTCCCTACACTGGTGAAAATTAAATACAGTGGTACCTCGGGTTACATACGCTACAGGTTAAAGACTCTGCTAACCCAGAAATATTACCTAGGGTTAAGAACTTTGCTTCAGGATGAGAACAGAAATCATGCTTCGGCAGTGTGACGGCAGTGGGAGGTCCCATTAGCTAAAGTGGTGCTTCAGGTTAAGAACAGTTTCAGGTTAAGAACGGACCTCCAGAATGAATTAAGTACTTAACCCAAGGTACCACTGTAATCCCACTACTGTTTTGTATACTTCTTTTCACACTAGCTCTAAGTTGTGGGGGAATTACACAGAGTTGAGTGTATTTTGTAACAAATTGGAGATGAAAGGATGTCCATGTAAAACAATGGGTAGGGGCAACAGAGAGGGAGAAGCTTCTAGAAGACGCTGCAGACAGGAACTAAGAAAAAGAAGGATAGCAACATTGGGAGGACCAACTAGAACAGGTGTGGAAAAGCTTTGTCAGCCCATGGGCCACATTCCTTCATACATGACCTTATGGGGGGGCTGCATGGCAGTGACAGGTAGGATCAAAGGCAAACGTGTGCAGATGAAAGGATGTGATTCTTACCTTTGCACCTTAAGCTACATTCCAGCCACACACAAACCAGGTTTCTATGGACACATCCACCCACCTCCATCCAGATGAGCAGGAGGCATTCCTACACTTCAGAGACACATTCTTGCCTGGCAAAATCACTAGAAGAGGGAGGGACCTGGGTCAAAGAATAATGTGGCCTGGAGGAGGCGTTACAAGCGTGATTAGGCCTTGCTCCTTGCGAAAAGCTCTCAAGCTGCACCAAAGGCTATTGGCAGAAAGAAACAGTAGCTGCTCTACCTTTGGCAGTATCTGTGGGTGTCATTTATATTTTCAAAGGAAGAGCGACTAACGTTGCTTGGTCTCTGTAACTTTGACTGCACCAGCCATGACCTAACCTGAGAAAGGCTGTAATCCTATGCCCACTTTTCTGGGGGCAAGCCCCACTGAACACAGTGGTACTTTTTTCTGAGTAACCGTGCATAGAGCACAACTGCAAATCTGTGCAAAATATATCTTAATACATTGTAAGGCTGTTTTTCCATTTGCTTTTCCATATGCCTCAGCAACACAGATCTCCCACACCCTGCTTTACACATTTTCAAATATTTTGCTTAACCTCCAGTCCAATTAAGAGTTTGTACAAACTTGAAAGCTTGCTTGCTTGTTGCATTTTAGTCAGTTTTGATCAAGGTATTGTTCTACTGCAAAACAAGGTACATGCCTGTCTCTGATTCAGTCCCTCCAACTGCAATACTGCTACTAATAATAATAATACTGACCCACCTTACAGAGTTTTTGTAAGGAATAAAATTAGATGATGCATGTGAAGTGCTTTGAACACTTACAAACACTATGCTAATAAGCATTTGTTTATTTAAAAAACATGTTTGTGATTGTTGGGGAGTGCCAGTTGCTTGATCAAAAATATTATTATATAATTTAATTTAATTTTAAGGGGATAGGAGTTCTCAGAACCTTGGAAGCACACTATACAAGTGCTGCTATTAGAGAAAGAAGCCTTTGTTTACCATTCTTCAAGAGCTGTACTTTGTAAACAGAACAGAAATGTACTAGTTAATTGAGGAACTAATTAGGGACCAGATGCAGCAGTATTGAGTCTTGTATTTTTAAAAGTATGTGCGATCACAGACAATAAAATCTACGTGGACCAAAGAGGAACTAC